ATATGACCACCCTGGTCATCGTCCTCCGCAACCTCACACTACCGTGGAACTGTACCCTCGCGAGCAAACTCGGCTTCTACTAAGGGAAAAAGGGACGTAAGAGAAGGACCTACTACCAGTTGGTAAATTGATTTCAAGTACTGAAATAAATGTTAATTTGGCATAAATTTTGGTAATTCCCAATACTAAGTGGTAGGAGCGTGGTAGAAGGCCCCTTCAACTATGTCAATTTATCCCCTATTTTTGTGTACCAATGCGAGCGTATTTAGAGACCACACCCATTAAGAAAAAAAGAACATTCAAAGTCTCGAGAGTTAAGACTTAAAAGAATATTACAGATTCCTCGCGATTATTGTCCCGAACTTGGGTCCGCGCCGGGACAATAATCAAATCTTATAGGGAAAAATTCTTCGGACCCTCGTAAATTCGTTTTTTACCCGAAACCCGAGCCTCGGCAACAGAAACGGAGGGGTAAAAAACCCCCAGTAGTAGGGATAACACCTGGACAATAATCGTGTAGAACAATGCAAACGATAATCAAAAAGAGTTCGTAACTGTATTCTAGGTTCAATTTTATTTATATTACGTCAAATCTATATTCTTTACATCAATGAAACGCGTACGTAGATTAACTAAATTTCTTTAAAAATAATATTAGAAGTTAAGAACTCGGGCGACGACATCTCTAAGTACTTAAAATCATTCGAATCTCTTCGAACCTATTTAAAACTTCCAGACCACTCTGTTCAGTGGTGAAATTACTTAAAAAGCACCCGTGATGTTCCCTTGCATCTATCGTATTTTCATTGGGCCGTGAAGTAGACCGACGGGGGAGGGTGGGGGGTGGAACAAGATTTTCCATGGGCACGTGTTTACAATGCCGATCCACGTGAAAACTGAAGAGAAGCGTGACAACAATAACTGTATGTGCCGGTTCCGCTGGCCGTAAAACGTGTAACATCGGGATGATTAATGCATTGTAGATCGGACGCGTTGATATATTGTGACGCGCTTTATTAGGTGTTCTCGACGGAGAAACGCGGGGAACCACCACCGCCGCCGTGGCTGTGGATAAGTCCGCGGGGGATATGTTTGTCAACCGGCTTTCGCGAACTCCGCTACGGTGGGCGGAGAAACCGGGAGTTCGATTTAATGGGACGTGTGAATGGCCCGGTAGGATATTCAATTTTCTTCCGTTTGCTTCCGCTCGCCGGAGGGAGCTGTTCCGCGCGATGTAATACGTAAGGTCAATGTCCTTCTTTCTAATCACGTCCCAATTTCTGCTCAACACGTATATTTTATTATTTAATGTAAAAACTTAAATAACAGATTAGTTACGCAAAAGATTATTTAAATTAGTTCAGTATTTCCGTACAGAATGCTACAGCCCGCTGTTCATACAGATTTTAAATATCAGAATTTATTTTTATTTATATTTTTAGTTCGTCAGAATTGTAATAGAAATAAATTTCATAAGTGTATCTGTCGTAACGAAATGTGATTTAAGCGGTGCAGACTCGCGCTCCGATTGGTCGGGGTTTTTCGTTAATACCTCGTTAACCAAGCCTCGGATAACATTTTCGCTGAGGAAAAACTTGTTCCAAATCGCCCCACGAGTGTCCCATTTCAGGGACCTACAATACTTTTGTCACACCCGATATAGCCTTGTCGATTTTTAAGATATGCGACATGTAGCAATCGGTTGTTGCTTCCAGTGTTGTTCGACGAAAAATGACTGAACAGAAGATCCATTCGATCGAAGGAAAGGAGCTTCGATTCTCCCTCGTGAGACGTGGCATTTTTTCCCTTCAATGATTTCTTTTTTTTTTTCCTCTCTCTCTCTCTCTCTCTCTCTCCCTCTTTCTCTCTTGCAACCGCACTGGTAATTGGTGGCACCGTCGGTATCGCTTGTTTTAAAGTTAACGAGCGTTTTTCATTTCGGAGCTAGGCAGACAGCGGCCCCGAGAGCCAATTAAATACAGATGGGAGATCGAGCAGCAACGAGGGCTCGAGAGATCCGCGGAAAATTGTTGCTGGCAGGGGTTGGCGGGCGGAGGGGAGGATCGAACCGGGATGGAAAAACGGATGAGGTGAAGAGGAATAGGAAGAGAAGCATGAAATTGTAGATCAAGATGAAGTGGAGCGCCGACAGAGGGATTTCAAGAGAAACCGATCCTCGGTGGATCGTCGAGCAAGAAAAGGTAAAAATGTCTCCCCCCTCCCCCATCTATGCTAAATACACCACTCGGGACAATTAGAGGATCGTGGATTGTAATTGTCAATACGATGTGTAATTTCTGAAAAGAGTGTAGATTGTAAGAAATACAAATTTCACTACACAGGGTGGTCCACACTACTTGCTCAACGGGAAACAGAATTTCAATTCCTTCGTACGGAGGTCGGTATTCGCGACAGTGGAATTTACATAATTAAAATTCTGTACTTGATCGATCGGTCTGAAGTTGTAGCGAAAATTATGGAACAGTGTGTATATCATGAATGAGAATCACCTGGTTGTCTTCTTTCCTGAAAGATCTTTATTCAGTTTTCATTCGACCTTTAAGATCTTCGGTTAACAACTAATAGTAACAAAAGTATGAATATTTAAGTACAATAACGATGATTGGAAGGTAAATCTCATTTAATTGGAGATTTATGATAATACCTGTTTAACTCTTTGGAATATTTTGTTTTTCGTACGCAGATTCCATTTCCACATTTTTACTACGAATTTTTACGTCGTCTAATTTTGTTCGTAAATATAATTAGCTCGTGATCGATAGATAAAAAACCAAGTTATCGAGCAATACAGACAGGTATCTTGAGCGCGGGAGTCTGTCCAAGATGGCGGCCTTGTCGCCAAAATGGCGCCGAAATGAACACTTCTGTATACCCAGACGTAAAATAGCCGTAAAATGGGCGTCTTCAAGGCGTCAGGTGCCATTTGGGCCGTGATCGTGAAAGCAACAAATTATGCAAATACTTTTTCTTCCGCAGTTAGTGCTACACAGATAACAAAAGTTTCGCTCGACTACGGCACTTATAAGAATACAAAACTAAAATAAATACTATTAGCTTGAGTCATAAACGACAAGCAAAAATCGACTTCCGTTGAGGAAATTGGCGGCTTAGGGGTAAGGGCCTCCTTGGTAAATTACCTAAATAAATATTAAACCGAATGTTAATTTGGCATAAATTTCAGTAAATCCCGACATCGAGTAATAAGAGGCACGTCCCATACGCTACTCTTTTCCCTAGTAACAGAAGCCGAGAGTTCGCTTGTGACGATAGAATAAATAATAGTATAAAAGTAACAGGGATAAGAGAAAATTCTTGTGTTGACCAGTAATCGTTAGGTTGGTCGATAATTAAGAATATCCAGTCGATAAAAGGTAATTGTACACGAAGTTGCGTTTGTGTTTTGAACTTAAGAGAGAAAGGGAAGTAATAGTCGTTTGCGACTCGAACCAATTATGCTTCACACTCGTCCTCGCGTCCCCGGCGTGACACCATCGGAACGAATATCACAACAGTCTCGAGTCTCGGTAAGACCTACGATTGCCCTCGGTAACGAATCGGCTATTGAAAAACGAGACGCGTGAATTATCTACTTAAGTCGAACGTGGGTCGGGACGGAGAAAATTAAGCTATTAATGTATACACAGGGTGGTCCAGTAAGAAATAACACTCGAATATCTCCGTTGTATGTGGAGATATGATAAAACTTTATTAACAAAAGTTGTTTAGTATAGAGGGGGTTATAATAAGGTAGTAATAATTTTTCAGCAGGTGGAGGATTTTCGGAGATTTCAAGGTCACCGTCATTTTTTTAAATGAAATCATATATTTTTTTGTGCATTAGTTGACGCAACCCGACATTCCCTATAAAAAAGTATTAATCTATGTACGTTGAAGAATGATCAATTTAAGAGATAGATTATGGAAATACGTACGAACATCTTGTGCATACTAATATTACAGTGGTATTTTTTACACGATGACTTACCACGATTCTCATCGTAATTCCTATAGTAAAGGCGTTGAAGAACAAGCAAACATTTACTACGCCTTTGCGAGTCTAACGTTCCAGATTAAACGCCCCACATCTTGATTTGTTTTCTCGTAAATTTATAATGGCATCGCCTTTCCATGGCCTACTCTCGTAAACGAATAATTCTTCGACGTATATAGGTTAATAGTTTTTTTATAGAGAATGTCAAGTTGCATCAACTGATGCATAAAAAAGCATATCCACCTGCAGAATAATTATTACTACCATATTAAAGCCCCCTCTATACTAAACAACTTTTGTTAATAAAGTTTTTTCGTATCTTCGAAAATAACAGAGATATTCGAGTGCTAATCTTTATTGGACCACCCTTATATACAGGGTGTCCCAGGGTGATTCTGCATGAGAGAATAAGTCGAAAATGTAGAATACAAATTTGGCATCCGTCATGGTAGTAAGTAGAAACGGAATGCAGTAAACAGACACGTTAGTAAAGTCTTATTCAATTGCATGCGTATCCACGTAGATTTTCAAAGTCGATTTTCTCGAGAACGAAGTCTGAAATAAAACAATGTTATTCCGAATTATGTTATATTTTCGACTTATTTTCTCATGTAGAATCACCCCCTCCCCGGTTTTACCATCATAATTGGAACACCCTGTATACACGTTCATATATCTATCATAATGGAAACGGCCCTACGCGATCGGGCTGATTGACACGAACGATTTTCATTATCAATCCGATCCGTCTGTTAACAACGTTCAATGGAAAAACCTCAGACACCCTCACCAAGCTACTTAAGCTAGTCACGTGATACTTTAATACAGGAGAATCATCGTATTGTGTCGTGTACCAACGATTGTTTCTGGCTCAATTCTTACCAAACGGTTCCGAAGTGACAAGGTTTTCATTCACAAAGTATCATTTAATACACTCTGACTCTGAGGTCCAGATATTGTTTTCCATTGCATTGGGTTACGATCTAGTTTACGACTGATCCTGTCCATCGTTCGATTTCTTTCTGGTGAAACACAGCTTACGGATCAACGTGGACGTGATCGACGGCATTTGTTTTTTATTGTTCTTTGTCGGATCTTTGATATTGGTTACGCAATAGACAGCTACCGCACGCGCCGTTGAGGTCATCATTTCCATCAGATCTTGAGTCTCCCAGAAATTCTCTATGATTTTACACAACCACACTATGTAGAAGCTGCCGTTCTGCGGATGTCGGTACGAGTAGTAACCTTTCAACAGAAATCATAAAATCTACAGTTAGACCGAGTTACCATGTCGCGTGAAAAGTGTGTCACAAGTAACGAAATATCTTCTGAAATGTGCACACGGTTGGATCCACCGTTCAGAAAAAATTGTTATAAGTCGAAGTCCAATACTTCAAGCGAAAATCAGTTTTTAATCGCTTTTTCCCAATTAGTTCTGCACATCCATCTGTGTGTACACTCACCGTCGACACTACTGTGGCCGATCAGGATGTCCGCGTGAGTTGGGATCTTGTAGACCGCGGAGACACACGAGTCCACTTCCGTATCATTGTCGCCGCCACTGAATACCCCTATACCATTGTCGACTTCGGAACCTCTGCACGCCTGGAATTCCCCGGAAAAATCCTGCGATAAGCGACTAAAAATGTCTTAAAAACTGACCGAGCTTGTGCAGGCTGGAACGACTTGCCTGAATAAAGAACAGCTTTGGTTTTCCGACGAGCGTCGGACACTTGTCACCGGTGAACTGTTGCCAGACGCTGTCCAAGTAATACGGCCAATCCCTCGCGAGCAGCATGCCGTTAGAATAGCCATGTGTCATTATGAACACGCAGAGGCAGTCGCTGTCCGTGTGGTCTTCCTTGCTGACTGCGATTAGGAAAGTGTTTATTTTCACTCGCGTAAATGTAATTAAAGCAAGGAGTTTCATAAATTACATCGAAATACAGTAAATCCTCGATAATCCCTACCCAATCGCTGTGGTAAACCTCATCAACAAGTCAACGTTGCACCTCGAGACCTGTCCTTGTCAGTTTCGAGGAGCCTTCGAGCATTCATCGTGGATTTACTGTATTCTCTAGCGAAAGGGAACAAGAACAGTGAAAAAATTTACGTTTCTCGATCTCCGTATTGATCTCCGTCATCGTTTTATTCCATCGCGGAACCACAGTGAAGCCCAATAATGTCCCGAAGGTTCTCTGTATATTCTCCACGTCGGCGGCGGCGCCGTTCCGGACCGGGGCTTCGCCGTCGTATTCGTCGTGATTGAATATCACGCATTTCCCGCGCTTCGGGTGGTTCATGTTGTAATGCGTCGCGTATTTGGCAACCGCCAGCTTGATAGGGAGGATCGTTTCCTTCCTGGGACAGGAACAAAAAAAATTCTCTTTGAACCATTCGCACGGCAAAGAGGAGGGGCTGTATTTACGAAAACCGAAATTTTGCAAATACAGACTCCTCTTGATTATTGTCCCGAACTCGGGGCCGCGCCGAGACAATAATCGAGAAGAGTCTGTATGTAAGCAAACATGTTCTGGAAGACCTGACCGGTGTTACATTTATAAGAAACCAATCACTTACTTTTTGCGTTATCATGTTACGTGAAGTGTTTAAAATAATGTCTCTCCATAGATATGCATTGTTCGAAACGTGCAATAATAGATAAACTCGAAGTCAATGATCACTTCAAGGTCAGTTCGTTAATCTCTGAATGCGAAAAAAATGTACACTTATATGCAAAGAAGAAAACATCGCTGACCTTGAAAACTCCGAAAAAAAATGACCGCGGCACAAAAATAGTCTTTGCTGTGTATTCATTCTTTGACACCATTCAAATTGCATGCAATATATTTTTAATATAAACACAGCTGAAGGAGATACTTAGGTGGCTACCTATAGGTGGACTATTCTGTATGAAAAAAAAATTGGTTCGAGCCTTACGATTTGGCACTGTCGTTATTCTCCTCGTAAGAGTTCACTGTCACGGTACCGTCTATGGTGTCCTCTTCTCGCGACATCCGTTCTATCGACCCTGAAAAGTTTGTAAGTACAGACACTTCTCGATTATCGTCTGGCTTGTTCTACACGATTATTGTCCATTATCCCCACCACTGGGAGAAAGGGGCCGTGGAACCTGTGAAGCGCATACTTTCTTACCCCTTCGGTGTTGTTTGCCGAGGCTCGGGCTTCAGGCAAAAAACGAATTTACGAGGGCCTGAAGCATTTCTCCCTATACGATTATTGTCCCGACGTGGACCCCAGTTCGAGACGATAATCGAGAGGAGTCTGTATTCGGGAGAATGTTATGACTGCTTTAAAAATACAGCGTTAGCCATAAACCTGACTGACCCTAAAGTTTATGTGTGAAAAACTGTGCTTGACCATCGTTCAGGGGCGTAAGACGTCAATTTGGGATCGGTGTTTCCGTTTTAATGTAATTAAACAAGTTCTTATAGCGTACTAATTTCAGACTTAAAATACTTCTGGCCGTTTTATTCTTGATTACAGCTTACAAAAACGTAAATTTCTTTCAAATCTTCTTTTTTGTTTTATTCCTTGGAATCCTATAGCTGAAAATGGCGTACGACCCTGAATGCGGTGGGACACAATAAACCCCCGATGATCGAGTACTAATGGTTTAAGAGTCAGCCACGTTTATGACTAACGCTATACCTTTGAAGCAGCTATGTATACCACGATTACAAAAAAAAATCCCGTGTGAATCGAACGAACGCGATCATCGATCGTATCAATGCGGCATGCGTCGTCTTCCGGGTATACATACACCGTGTATCTTCGACGGGAAACACTCGATAGAGATCACCAGTTTATCAGTGAAACGTGCCGGTTTATCGCGAAAACACGACCAGCCACGAACAAAATTGTATTATCAGATAAACGGTCGAATAGGCAATTGTTTATCGGATCGATAAAACCGAACCTTTTTCACTATGAATTTTCTCTCGTCTCCTGCGAACGCTAGCTCTCGATTTGTTCATCCTCGTGAAAAGAAAACTTTTATTGAAACTCGAGAAATTCGAATAGATTCCTAGTATGCTCGATTCAATTGCGATTTTATCGATTGTTAGATTCGGTTCAATCTCCTTCCTTATTATAGTCCAGTGGCACGGTTCTTTTGTCTCGGTATCTTTGTAGGTCACTTCCTTATCACGGTGTAATACCTCTTCGTTTAGTTGCACAGTGTACATCCTGTTTTTCCGTCGTTTCTTTTTATTTTTCCCCCCTCTCTTCGGATCGTCTACGAGACTTTGTTCACTGAAACTTGAACGATAACACTAGGGGAGAAGAAGAAAGCATTACCTTTCGTGACGAAGTGTTTTCAAGGAGACCAGATACGGTTAGAGAAGATGAACGATGAAGAGATAATAGGTGTTTCGTGTGTTATAGTAACGGGAAATGAGATCATCGGGGCGCAGAGAGAACGTTGATCGACTCGTGTTCACTCGAACGGACCGAGATGCGACGAATCTCAAGCGGGACGACAAAATGGCGGACGCGCGGTGAGATGGACCAGCGAGTAGGGACCACGGACTTCTATATAATACACTATTTATATAGTACACTATATTACATAATACAGTATTTATACAGTACACTACATTATATAATACACTATTTATATAGTGTATTATACTTTTTTTATATAGTCTATTCTATAGAAGTCTGTAGTAGAGACATTATTCTACACTTAGTATTTTCTGTTCAGGAAACTTCGAATTTGAAAGTAATCTTTTATTCGCTTGGATAATAATTCGAAGTAATAGAAGATAGTTCGGTTGTGCCAACTTGCACTTTAGACCGAAATGCACGAATCCTTTGAATGATGGTAAAATCTTGGATACACGGGAAGCAAAAAGATAAGACTATAAATAGCTTTTCATGCAACTGGAAAGGTGCACAGCTTTCGCCTAAATTAATTTCCAATTAAATTAGATTAAACAGAAAAAGCTCGACGATAATTCTGCCCTCTTTATTTAAAAGGTCCAAACTAACAAATTATTGTTTCTCAAGATGTTTCGAAATATTTGGAACTAACTGGTTTTCGAATTATTCTATTAGTTTATATTGTTCTGTGTAACATCTACTAACTTAGATAGTCCTAAGTTATAACTTATGTTTATGCCTCGATTATTCATATTCAAGATACGTGTGAAAAAAAAATAAAATAAATATGATTTACAGTTACCTGTATTAAAACGGCCTAAAAACCAAGGACGACATAAAAAAATGATAAAACGTCATTTTTTTCGGGTGTCTGAATATGTCGGTTAACACAATTAAATTAAGGAGGGCAAAATTGTAGAATCACGACAAAAGTGAAAATTTTCAGTCGGTGTTTCAAAAATAAACTTTCCAAACATTCTCGAACTATACACGATCGTAAAATTTAATATTCGTCTCTTTTACAATGGATCTCAACATGTTTGTAAGAACATACAATCGACGGTGGCAAAGTACAAACGGACAACTACAATTTTCTCGGTTTTCACTTTTTTACATAAATGGACCCTAAATATTATTTGGATTCCGATCGAACTAATAAAAAGTATAAAGAGCCATATGGAGCTCCAGCTAGGTACGATGCCAAACGCGGAAGCTACCTTAAGAAGTCATAAATGTTACGAAAGTAAAATTTATTTTTATAGCGCAGACGTTGGTCTATCGAGAGTTGGACTTTGATCGTTCGTCCATTAAAGAAACGTAACCCTGATCATTCTTCCCCGAATCCAACATTTTTCGGCACTTAATTTTTGCTGGACTGTACTTGTTTTTTCCTTTTATTATTTCACAGTTTCGATAGCTCTTCATAAGCTCTAACGTATTAACGGTGAAATCTCAATTTCGATTCGAAATGAACGATAGACCGTGTTTTTCCCCTGGACTCTTCGATTATTTAACAGGGGGAACATTATTAATATTATCTTGAGTTTTCCCCCAAAACGAAATTATTTTCATCGGGAAAGAAAAATATGTATCTACTTTTAAACAAAGCTTCTGCTTTCGGTTCGCCCCGTTGTTGAGGAAATTCTGATCACGGTGGGACATTTCCTCGGACTGAACACACAATCCTCGTGCAATTCAGTTAATCTATCTCGTGATAATCCGTTCGTTGGCAATAATCAAGGAAGTCGCGTGAATCACTAGAATGTTGTGGTTTTTTCGCGATAGAATCAAAGAAAAATCTAGAGAAATTCGAATTGAAAAAAACAAGATTTCTCGTGACCGTTACACCTAATCTTGTATAATTCACTATGTAATATATGTAAATACTTGCTTGCCCATGTGATATATAAATTAATGTTAAAGACACGATGTCAGTGATTTATCGCAACACTTTATGTTTCGCTTTATACAGTCGATCAGTTTTTGGATTAATATGTCATTATTACCTTACTTACATTTTTTCATTTTATTTTAAATAATTTTTCATTTTTCGATCAACACCTATTCGTGGCAGAGCGTATATATTTCGCGAATTATTTGTGCAAAATCGAACGAACCGAACGTTTTGCAATTCGCGAGCACTTTTAACAACTCGCCCGAATGGGCGGAACGATGCAAGTCGGTTAATTATTAATTATAAATAATTAATAAGACTATGTTATAGAAAGCTGCGTGTAAGTAGAAATACCGAAACAATAAACGAACTTCGATCGTTTCTGAGTCATCGATAAGACATCGATAAAAATAGTTCTGTCGTCGAACTCCGCAATTTTTCCATCGATCATCACCATTGGATGGTAGGTCTCGGTGGATTTCATTTTTTGAAGATACGTTTCTTCTACTTTCGTATGCTCGTTAAGGTTCTTCGATGACATAAAATTATTCTGTAATAAAACTGTCTGCAATTTCCTAGTGACACACGGTTTTGCTGAAATGTTACACCATGTATCAAAAAATGTCTCACAGTATTTTGAAATCTTCACAGTATTAAAAGTGAGAAACATATTCAATGTTCAGCATGATTTCACGCGTCCCTGATATTTTTGATTTTTATTTTATCTCCACTAATACTTACATTTTCACTATTTCAAAGTAGAAGCTATTTAGACGTTTTTATTACACTTATACATTCTCGCTCATTCCTTCTGTTTACATACTTTCTCAGACCATTCATTCCTAGACCTTTCTTCGTATTACTTTTATCATATACAGGATGTAACAAAAAGGATATGGAACAAGTTTTTCCTTAGTGAAAATCATCTCCGAGGCTTTGTTAACGAGATATTCACGAAAAACCCCAACCAATCACAGCGCGCAGCCAACTTTACCGCGGGAACTCGGCCGGCAGATTCGCGCTCTGATTGGTCGAGGTTTTTCGTGAATATTTCGTTAAGAAAACCTCGGAGAACATTTTCGCTAAGGAGAAACTTGTTCCAAATCGTCTCGCGAGTGATCCATTTCAGGAACCTGCAATATTTTTCTTACACCCTGTATAAAAATCTATGATATAAAATCAATATTTTGCATTTCACATAAAACGGTAGCCAAACGATCATACGCTACGTCTGGATTGTTCCTTAAAATGACGTCTCGTATAATGTAACATTCATGGTACCAATGAGAACCCGTTATTCTACAGTAATGCAATGTTCCAACAAAGATGGAACGTACATTAAAATCCTTCAAAAAATGGAGCGCCCTTCGAACGAAACACGGAAAGAAAGCAAATACATTTAATTTACCTGGTCGTCCATATTGTCTTCCAGACCGAAATCCTCGTCTTTGGTCTCGTTACTGAACAACCGATTCGAGAGATAAATTATGGTGGTCCGTGTGTAGGACAGCAAAGTCAGCAGAAGAATTATCATTGCTCCTCGCCGGATCACTGGTCGAATTTGACCACTGGTGGATACGCGGAAAAACGGATATTATCACTCGGTCTTATCATTTATTATCGCGGCTTTTATACATGTCGAGTCCGGTTTCCGCGTCCGTGATTGGCTAAGAATTACTTTTCATTGGGCGAAGATGTCGCCTCCGTGTTCCGTGTGAATTTTTCATTCATATGATACTGGTCAAACATGGGTAAATGTTTATTTAAAATGAAACTAAGAACTAATGATTTGAAATAATTTATTTCGGAACTTTATTTACCATGCTGTTATTTGAAAGTAAAAATATTATCGATTCATTGGAAATCATAGCAATTATTTTCTCATTTTTGTATTTCAAATTCAAAAAGATTTTGTTTTAAGAAATCTTTACAGAAAATAAAATAATAATAATACAGATAACACATGACACCCAATGACGCCTCAAAGACGGCTTAAAGGCGTCTTAGACCTAAATGGGTGGAAAAGGAGTGTTACTCTACAGAAAAATGACAATAACTCAAACTCAGACCTAGTTACCTGGTACAATTTCGAAGAACAATGCCACAATTATTTCTAAGAATTATTGCAAACGATTGGAAAATAAAATAACATGTTATTTGAAATAATATTTCGAATAATATCATTTAAAAAATGCCTAGGTCTGATACTAGTAATATCAATATCTTCCGCGCAATTTTTCTCACAGTCGAGAATAAATGATACACCCTTCTATAACATTATGCATAGGGTAGACCTAAGCAAATCCGATTGAAACGTTTAATAATGATTAATAATTAATAAATTGTTATACTTACTGTTAAAAGTAGCAATATTGGGGACTACAAAAATATGAACACTTGAAAGTTGATCAGCTGACTCACGTAGTAAATTTATCGTTTACATGCGATTCAAAAGGGACTTTCCTTACTGAAGGCGAATCAAGGTATACAAGTACCCAAATTCTGTGACGTAGGTACTATAGAACCATTTTCACTATTTCCTTCGTATTATTCCTCGTTACAAAATTTACACTCCAAAACGGATTAAAACCAGTAACAGGATTGACATTAATATTTCAAATTACATATTATAAGTCATAAATATTTGCCCTCATTCAGCAAGAATGCATACTAGAGGCACTGATTCTGATTGTGTATTCGTATTAATTATTGTTCAATGTATGCATTGTACTTATAGGGAAACGAACAAAAGTATCCATATATTTCGTATGTGAATCGTAGTATAAACACATACATTACACGTATATAATCTTTATCTTTAATTACCTTTTATTTCTGTATTCTTATAATGTCTCCATCACATATAGTATATACGAGTGTATAAATTTTGTAATTAATAGTATAGAAAATATAGCAGCTTCCATTTCCACATTCTTATTGCACGTATCTTCTGTCTCTCACTGTATTTCCACATTTCCACCAGCGTTGTCAAATGTAGGAACAATACCGCTATTTCTTTTTCTTCCGCGTGCGTCATGTACGAACGGTGCAACGTTCGATAAGAATCATATTTTGTTTTCTATCTAGTTCAATTACACAATTGCTCCTGAAACGCACAATTAATCAGCGCACGTTACGTCTCTTCCTACATAAGTATATACATAACTCGTTCCACGTTTGCCGAGATTGTTGCATTCACAACCAAGTGTGTCGTTTTCGTTTGTGTCTTCCATTTGTTTTCGCCGTACAGTCGCCATACGTCTGGTTGACATTTTTATCGTATCTGGTGATCAGGTGAATATATTATCGATTATTTAACACAAATAGATAACATTCCATTAGCCGTCTGTTTCGTGGAAATATTTTGCTGACACCAGACACGATAAAAAAAAAGGAGAAAGTGCTCTTGTTTGCAAGGTTGCATTTCCAGTCGCTGACAGGATTAATTTAATGCGTGTACTTATAAACAAGAAAAAATCCAGTAATTGATAGTGTTTGGTTGATTTTCTTGCCACCTGCTGCCAAGTATATTAATTTTTATTTTACTAGAAGCTATACTTTGTTTTTAATATGTATCCACATTTCTTGTATATACGAATAATTAGTAACTATCAATTTTGGTGAAGTAGTATTTATTACTACTTGACTATGGATTATATGCATTTATGCAATGCATTGTTTAAAACTTAAAATAATATAAAGTTCATCAGAATTTGTATTTTATTTGAAATCTGACTGATCACTTAATGAAACAGACTAATTTCTGTACATTAGGGTATAAAAGCTTATATTTGCATAAACAGCCACAATTTAATAATCAACTCTTATCCGTCTATCTATCCTTCATGTTCCTAAGAGAATTTTCTTGAATTCAATCTGTTTTATAACCTCAATCTAACTTCTGTCTGTATATTTATTTTCAGAAATGACTTCACTTTGTACCTCATGGGCAGAGTAAAGTGAACATTTACGACAGTATTATTTTACACATAAGTGTAATTAATAGGAATAAATTTTGTATATCTAGTGTCCAACAAAATGTCAAGTGAAACTAATGGTCCTTGCACCGATGCTAATAAGACACTTGGAATAGATGAAGCTTGCTTCAACATATTAAATTCCTATAATGTCCCTGTTCGTTTTTATTCAATAGCATGGGAAGCTTATTGGGTACGTATTTGTATTCTTTCAAGGATTCGAGCTGTGTGGATATATTAACAATTATTTCTAGGGTATTGGTAAACTCCAAGCTACGTTACCACCAGAAAGAAACACGGATCTAGTAGTAAGCACGAAACATCCATTACATGTGTATTATCGTATTCAAGAGAATGAAACCAAGTACTTGGAGTATTGTCAGTTAGTATATTTTTATTACGTATCACTGTAATATATAAGGTAATTCAATAATTAGATAATTTTTTAAACGATTAAGAACTTTGTGGGAAATCAAAAAATTTTAAAGAGATAGAGGACCTTCAAAGCTGTTTTCTAGTAAAAATGCTGACTCTCTATGCCTTAATATAACTTTACTAATATAATTCATCAGTAATATCAATATAACATACATCAGTAATATCTTGTTTTAGCACAACATACAGATTCAATGAACATGGTACCTATGGATGGAATATTTCATCCGATAAAATTTGCTCTGACATTTATGTAATACGTGAACCAACAGAAAGTTATCTTCGTAAGTTAGATTTTATAATAACCAAACACAGACTGAATTAATGATTATCAACTGATTGAAAATTCATTATTTTTTCTAGCAATTCTTGTAGCATGTATGATATATGTTCTGTTAGCAATTCTGTGTTCGACATCAAAGGTCATTGTACGAGTGATAAGGGGAAAACTGTCTCCTGATAATACACACAATATAAGTGTAAGTGACTAAATTAATTGTTGCTATTTTCTTCATTTATTCAATTGTATTTCAGGATTTGGATAGACTTCAGGAGTCAGAAAGCATAACAAATACAGTGATTGTGACTAGGAAGTCCAGTACTAGAATATCTTCAGTGGATACATTTAGAGGGTAATTTTGTGTTTTTGTACAAGTTCCATGTACCATTTCTTTCAATTATGATTTTACTTTACCGTGACAGAATTGCTGTACTATTGATGATATTTGTCAACAATGGTGGTGGAAAGTACGTTGTATTTAATCACAGTTCGTGGTTTGGACTTACATTGGCAGACTTGGTACTTCCTTGGTGAGTTACTACATTTGGAATCAATGAAGAGTAAACTAAATTGTTCTATAAATATACATCTTTACGGTGTAATTTATAGAGATTAGAATTAAAGAGAAGTTTATTTACTCTATTTTAAGATTTGTTATTTTACTGTACTGAGTTTTAGACAATCATTGTATACTAATGAAATAATAATGAAACTATATCATAAAGTTAAAAGAAATATATCGGCTGATAAAGTCAACTAAGTATATCATATCTGACGTAATACGATTAATGAAATAATCAATTCGCAGGTTTGCATGGATCATGGGCTTGACGATATCAATATCGAAGCGTGCAGAACTTCGCCGAACGACTTCGCGTATAAAAATAACGTTACGCTGCATTCAACGATCACTAATATTGATACTTCTTGGATTAATGTTAAACTCCATGCACAGTAAATCTTTGAGCGATTTTCGTTTCCCCGGTGTCCTTCAGTTATTGGCTGTATCGTACTTTGTGTGCGCCACGCTGGAGGCAATTTTCATGAAGCCTCATTCTCAGGTTCACCTATGATTACTTTTGTCGTATACAACATTTATATTTGTGCCGATAGATATTTATAAAAGTAATTTATTAGGATACCTTGCTCCAGTTTGGTCGGCTCGCGTCATTTCGCGATATATTGGACAGCTGGCCCCAGTGGCTAGTTATGGGAGGAATTTTAACCGTTCACACTTTAATCACTTTCTTCCTGCCTGTACCAAACTGTCCAAGGGGTTATTTCGGACCCGGCGGACAATACGATCATCGTGGGAAATACATTAACTGTACCGCAGGCGCAGCTGGCTATATCGATAGATTGATCTTTGGAAATCATACATACTCCAAGACGAATGATTCTGTCTACGGTTCGATTTTACCTTACGATCCGGAAGGTACATTGATCAAATAGTATTCCGGGACATAAAAAGATATTTTAATTTTAATGATTAATAATTGAATTTCAGGACTAATGAATACCATATCGGCTATATTGTTTGTATACTTGGGTGTCCATGCTGGCAAGATTCTGTTACTTTACTACCAGTGTAATGTCAGAGTGGCTCGATTGATACTATGGGCAGTATTTACGGTGAGCAAGTCTCAAATAAATAATAAGCGGTAAAACAAGAAGCAAGATGAAGCTATACAAATTTTAACGGAATTTCTAATTCCCCTTATAAAAATTGGATCGGAAGTTAGGTTTTAAGATACCTGCTTTGAATTAATTTAGAAAAAAGAAACTTTATCCTTAAATATCTTTCAGGGTATCATTGCTGGAATTCTGTGCAATTTCGAGACACAAGGAGGGGCAATTCCAGTCAGCAAACGAATGATGACCTTATCATTCGTTCTGGCGTCTTCTAGTTTAGCTTTCTTATTATATGCGGTTCTATACATTCTTACTGATTACAGGCAATTATGGAGTGGGGCTCCCTTTATCTATGCTGGCAAGTATTATTACGTAGTTGTACAATATTGTTTAAAATAAGGATAAATCATAAATCAAACCATGTGACGCCTTTGCCTACAGGAACGAATCCTATTTTCCTTTACGTGGGACACGTGTTGACGAAAGACTTGTTCCCATGGGCATGGCACATCGTCCATCCCACACACGCGTCCGTTTTAGTTATGAATTTATGGACAACAACATTGTGGGCGATAATAGCGTACATGCTTTATTGGAAAGATATTATCATAACTATATAAAATCTGTAATACGCAACAAGTATGATATTACACGTTTACGACTGCCTAAGTATTTCGATACATAATACTTTTACATGTAACTATTGATGTAAAAGAAAAAAAATACCAGTGTTTTAAACGAAAGCAGGAAGAATACAAAGAGAACAAACCATAGGTATTGCAGTACGGTTAATGTTACTTTAATAAAAACTAAATTATGAAGGTGGATAATTTTAACTTCAACAATTGTTTCAAATGTTGTATTTTATTTTTATAAACAAAAATATGCATATCTTAAACTCGATTCGTGGTTAATAATATTTAACTGTTTTTTAAATAGTAGATTTGCTTAATAAATAATGAAGCAATGCGTAAACTACTAAAAAATACAAACATCCGCGTAGAATGGATTTGCGTTTAAGCATTTCGATCTTTTGGTTCTTTGTATGACATTTCCAGAAATCGAAAAATATCCTCTTCGGATGATATTTTTTCTGGCTCTCTTGGCACTCCTATAATTTTAAGTGTAGTATTAATGCACACGTATTACATATATAATTCATAATTCGCTCGTAGTATATTTTTTGCGAAACTATTAAAGGTAACAATGAATTTTTTTCGTATCTTAACAACGAGGACCATTAACATGTGAGACAATTATTATGTCTGGACTGCGGATCCTTATGCATTTGCAAACTTCACAATTTTCTAGAAGTTCAGTACAATTTTATACGGTTTTTTAATTAAAAATAAAATCTCTTTAGTAAAGTAAACTAATTTCGTTTTAATTTTACTTTTTATAAATTAATTTATAAATGTTTATATCTATACTTGCATAACTATCCGCTATCTAGTCTTTTTTTGTTTATCTAATGCATAGAGAAAAAAATATTTTAAAGTACATGCTCCCTGTACATTAAAAAACAGGATTGAGCCATTTCTTCTTCCTCTAATAATTTTATATAATAATGTGATTATTATTGTGTTAATTTCATGTACCTTCAGGTGTAAGACGTTTCAATGTATATTCATTCAAAGTATATTTCTTTTCTAAAGCTCGAGCCCTCATGTTTTTATTGAAGAGGTCACTTCCAGTGAAATAAAGAGCAGCACAATAATACTGATCGTATGGTGCCAGCCTGATGTCAAGCCTCCTGCATGGCTTGCAGCTATTTGGAAGTTGACAGACACCCTACAAAGACATTGTCTCAAAATTCAGTCTCTTTACAGTCAATTCTCATAAATTTAATACTCAAATGTCAAAGAGTGGTTTAAAAGATATTCGATTCATTCATTTATGTGCACATTATAAGACACAAATTGAAAGCAGTCTAAAAGAAAACAAAGTATCTTTGCCTTTCAAGCATTTAACACACCATAAACTTAGTTGGCCCAAGAGATATTGTATCGACAATCAATCTTTTCTTCTCCAGACATTCCACAACATTCTTTAGGACTGAAACTTTTTTCTTAGACTCTTTTTCTTTGGAAGTATACAACGGATGTGTCAGTAGAACATCAATGTCTCCACTTTCCTCTTTTCCGCGCCTGTAGCTTCCACAAATCGTTATGATATACTCGCTGCTTAGCTCCATGATATGGTCTTTCATAATTTTCTCGATCTGTTCTATCTCCTCTCTGGGAATTCTTTCCTTGAAGTCTTCAAAGTATCTAGAGAAAGTATTGATTATCACAATCATCAATATTATCTTTATGTAATATTTTGTTTCTACATTTTGTTTTGTCTTACTCCAGACCAATTTTTTGATGACGATTGAGCTTGTCCTGTTGCTTCCTTAAATCGTCTAAAGTTTTAATGCCAGCCTCTACTAATTCCTTTGCTTTTGCAGGCCCAATACCAGACACACGTGTTAACAAATTAATCGCAACATTTGTTTCATCTTTGTTAATCTAAAGAAATATGAAACTTAGGAATTCAGGCGACAATGCACTATTGCTTACGACATTAATAAAGGAATAAATTAATGTATGTACGTCTTCTAATTTTTGTAACTTTCCAGTATTAAGAAATTCATCGATCTTTTTCGCAATTTTCTCTCCAATTCCTGGCAATTTTCTTGCTGCGTCACCATTTATTACTCTGTGGGACAAACCGCTCAGAGAACTAGCTGCTTTGCGATAGGCATTGTACTTATAAATATTCTTACTGACGTTCCGCTCGTAATCTGCCAATTCTGTAATTTTGTTCACACCTTTATACACATAAGAAAAAGGATTAAATCATTTTTGTAACATTAATTTTGAACTACATCGATGTTTATTTGATTTCAGAAATGATTTGATTTTATGGTTTGCATTGATTGTTTACCCATTAAGAAGTCACACAAATCCTGATTTGGATTTCCTGCAATTCCACTAGCCTTTCGTTTCCCCATTGTACGTAAAACAATTGTACAATACGTTCGTACTATTCGGTTCAGTTTGTTGATCCTCACCAGTTAGTTAATTTTCCTCAAATTGTGCAAAACGTGTCTCCACTAACAGGCTATATAACGCAGTGTCTCAAACACTTATGTCAACGGGGACGCACGTGCTCTTCTGTATGTACACATACACGACGTAGTAAAAACAACGCGCGTAGTAGTCGCAGATTGGCCGGTTCATTCTGCGCGACTTTCAAAATGTTGTGGCGCAATTTTTCATTATCGATCGATAGTTAAACCCACCTAATATTACCATCGTACCATTAAATATACAGCATCCCTTTCAAACGTGTTCAGCCATTACTATAACTATCTATTCTGAAATGTACAGTTCTCACTGTTGAGGCTTTCGGGTGTAAGCCGTGTCTTTGTGAAATTGTTTTCCCAACGTTTCGCAACCATTGCAGCTAGCTTCATCAGGGGATCAAAAGACACACACTGATACTTAGTATCGATGGTATTTGATATTGACTTGGTATTGGTGGTATTTTGATACTTAGTATCAGTGTGTGTTTTCCGACCCCCTGATGAAGCTAGCTGCAATGTTGCGAAACATTGGGAAAACAATTCCACAAGGACACGGCTTACACCTGAAAGCCTCAACAGTGAAAACTGTATTATACCAGGCCATGAAAGCCTCAAGTCTCTGGTTTTCTGAAATGTGTTCTTTGGCATCATTCTTTGCCTTTAAATGTGTTGTCCGTCCTTTTTGAAGTGACTTTCTTTCGTTCTTACGATTTAAAAAAATTTGTCTCTTTGTATTAATCTTTACTTAAGGCACATTTATTTCTTTAGTTCCTAAGTTAGTATTCAAACTAGTCAAGTTAGGTATCATAAAAACAGTCAAACTTTAACGTTTAATATTTATTTCGAACAAACAGGTATATACAGTTTTACATGCAAATATAAATCGTCTCTTCTAAAAGGAATTCTTGTTCAACAGTATGTCACTATATTTTAATACAAGGTCATTAATCTCTTTCGATTTAACTGCGATATAGTCGCGTTAGTTGCATAAGTACTGCGAGTTAGTTGTTAGTTGCGATAAGTATCGTATTTTTTTACAAAATACAATTAACAATAAAACGTCGGTTATAGCGAAGAAACTATTCCATTTCATCTTTATACATCCTGACTAAAAAGTTAAACACGCTAATCATAAGTATGTTTGGCATTCGTTCTTACGTCTATTAATTTCTAACGAAATTTTGAAAACAAATTGAATGGACTTTCAATGTAAAGAACAGACAGTTTTATTAACTGTTACGATAGATGAAATACTAAGGTAGATAAAACACGATAAACGATAATTACGTATTCCGTGGAAATTGAGAAAATTACAGAATTCGATTTCCACGATGCCTGCAGAAATCAATTAGGAACATGTTCTAAGTATGCTTGTCCACGTTTGACAGCAATTTTCCTTGCTTGTAAATACTGTACCTTTACATAATCATCACAATGTTCATTTTGAAACTTGACATAGATGGTAACAGAATCACATATATTGGACGGATCTTTGTACCTCGCTTCTAATGTCAAGTTATCATGAGTATTAAGTAACGAATTTGAATTATACGCAATTACGTGTTGAATTAAATCGATGACATACGAGTGTAACCTGCATGATTCTTTAAGCAGCAACTGGATATATAAACGCAAACGCTGAACGCTACAATGAATATTCCAACGAAAATGTAAATCCACAGTTGCGGAAATCTTCCTGGTAACCATAAAATACTGAATTCCATCGTTTTTTCTTGAGTATCTAAAAAGGAAAAGATGCAATTAATGCAGTAACATATTTAAAAAAAAAATGAAAGTCATCTCGAAATCTCAGAGGCTCGTCTAGCCTATTCATAACTTCTTTACCAATATAAGCCATGCCATATCCTGTATGAGGTGTACCCATTCTGTACGAACATGTGGGTATTTGCACTTCGTGAATATCACCTACATCCATTCTCAGTTGGTACAAAGGTGTTTCGTAAGGTGGTAATATCCAAATCTCGCTTAACTGGTCTGTTGCCGTGTCTAAACTAATATGCATGGCTTTATGCTCGTGTGCAGTAAAAATAATTTGAGGCGACAATTCTTTTAGTACCTATTAATCAGAAGATAAACAGTAATATAAATTAGAACCAAAACAAATTTCCGTAGCTGCTTTACGCGTACATTTTGCACAAAAGTACCAGGCATGAACAATAAAGGCATGTGACTAAGCACCACATTTGTTGTGTTTCGCTCTGCGTAATCATTAAGGAAGGCATCTTTTGGAGCTTCTGGCATTGTATGAGTTAATCTGTTTACCTATACAAAAAAAAGGGCATTATAGTCGGTGGACACAGAATTTTTTAAACATGTCCTTCGTTTTATTACCTTGAAAAATGTCACTGACTTATAAACTAATGTGTCAGACTGTGTATATGCAAAATTGAATCTGTTGTTCATATTGAATGAGACAGACTCTTCTTCACCCCCTATATCATTGTCACCTGGCAAATAAATTTTCTAAAAGTTAAAGTTTAACGAATTAAGTATGACAACAGTATTTGCTAAAATAAATAATGAAACAATTCACGATAGCTACAATTGTACCATTATATTATCAGGCATGTAAAATATAGAATCTAATCTTCTCTTGTATGCCCTAAAGCTTTCTGCATTAGCAATATGGCCTTCATCCATAAGGTCTCCAAGGAATGCAACAACATGTGGCTGAGAATAGTCCAAGGCTCTTGAAAATGTCTTTTTCAAGTACCTGGAAATAACACACTGTGGAACAAAACCGAGGTCAATGTTTAAATTTCTTATGAAGTACTAACGAGTATCAATAATTTATTAGGTCATTTCATGAGTCTTTGAATGAAATTCGGTTGTATAAAGAAATGCAATCTCTCCATGATTTTATATTTAAATTAACATTGTTGTTAAAATATAGAAAAACTTATGAGATGCCCCAACAATTATTAGATCAATCGTACCTATCGCTATCCCACTGTGCTATCCAAGCACCAAAATAATTCTCTGTTTTTTCACCCAGTATCTGGGGATCGGCAACAAGTAATACTTTCACGCATTCTGAACACTCTCGTGCAGACCACTTGAACTTCTGTATATCATAAACTAGAAACTCATTATAAATTACAGTGGCCAACACTACGAGACCAATGGCAATCATTCTGTTCTTCGATCTATATGATAAAATTGATTAATAACAACGTAATAATTAAAACTATATTATTTAAAATTTACATTCTTCATTGATGGTTTTATCATCTTATAAATTAACAAAAGCATTTATTGAATTGAATTGAAGTTATTACTTCATTATATTTTACGTGTTCGCTAATGTAAATGCATAAGCATCTGTAATGGAATGATTACATAATATGTAAATTTTACCTGTTCCGTCGTAACATAATTTTAATATTTAGTGTCGTCTGACAGCATCAGTAACATCACACAGAGCACGATGAACTTTTAACATGATCTCGTTTATCCTACGGCATGCAATAATCTAATTAACAAACGGTTTGTTACACGATTACAAGAAGCGCATTCCTTAAAATTTTGTACTTGTGAGAGTTTCAATCGTAAATAGAACTCAAGTTTTATTTTTTCTTAAATAAGTTGAGCTACGCGAAGATCTTGTTTGAATCATGCTCTGTTCGAAAAGAAAACGACGTTCCCGACGAGTTATACAGTTCACTATAAATGGAGACAAATCATGTAATGCAAAGATAATTGTTCTTTCCAAATAGAAAAAAAAGTACAAATAAAAAAGAAGGATTTAAAATGCTGTTTGGAGTAGTAATTCATATACCAAATTTTAGTAATTGATAGTCGATGAAAATATTCATTCATTTTCAAAAATAAATCACGTAAGATCAAATTTCATCGTTTAAAAATTTTTATCAAGCAAAATTACGTGATATGAGTAACAGTTATTCTTATATATTTATAAAAAATTTGGATTCAACCCGGGACTATTGAATATAAGAGGCACGGGTTACTATGGATCTGCCACTCTTAAGAAAAAGGGTGGTCAGAGATAAGCTTCAGGTCACGTCACATACGGCGCTTTGCGACAGTTTGAAACAGGATGTTGCAGCACCGACTAGGTTTAGGCACAGACGAGATATATGAATAGACTTACATGCAATGTAATTTTCTGTCCCATGCTTCGAGGGCGTCAGAAGTCCCCTTACCATTTTAGTGTCAATACCCGACGTACCGATAAAGTATGAATTCTGAGTATTATTAGCACAAATGAAATGTTATATATTCCATTCATATTGCGTGTATCTATATGATTTGACGGGAATAAAAATATCCGATGCTTCATTTTAAGGTTAAGGGATAAATATGACAGTCATGAAACATGAAACAGGAAAGTATATATTTTTTCACTTAACTACAAGACAATTTATACAATATGGTTGTCTGGTTCAACAGGTTACTACAGAAACTAACTACTGCCTACGTCTTTTAAACCTGGGCTGTAGTAGTATCTGCAGAAACTGCCATGGTTGCTGGGGTTACTATATAATTTGCTCACAGAAGCACGCACAAGTGTCAGTCAGATTTCGACAGTTGCACGAGCAACATTAGACCGAGCTCGAGACTCGTACGAGCAACAGCGATAAAGGATTACATTTCAACGCTCTCACCACACGGGGTCCCTGGCGCCTCCACCCGGGGCTCCATGACCCCACGATCTCATCACACGGTGGTCTCTGGCGCTACATGCAGGGGTTCCGTGACCCCACGCTCTCGCCACACGTGGTCTCTGGCGCCTCCACTGGGGTTCTATGACCCCACGATCTCACCACACGGGGTCTCTGACGCCACCTGTGGGGGTTCTGTGACCCCACGTTTTCGTCACACGGTGTCTCTGGCGCCTCCACCGGGGGCTCTGTGACCCCACGTTCTCGCCACACGCGGTCTTTGGCGTCTCCACCGGGGTTCTATGACCCCACTTACTGGGCTGCCTTTTCCCGCCATCTTGGATATTGCAAAAAGCGCGGGAAAAATGGAGATTTATGGGACATTGTGTGGCGCCCCCACCACTTTGGTGGCAAAATTTGGAACTAATTCTAGAACTTCTTCCAAAACTTACAGTTTTAGAATGAATTATTTTGTTATTATTTATTATTTCTTATTACTTTTTCAGTTAATTGATATTCGGAATAGGAGTGGAGATAGTGTCGGGATTAATGAATAACGCATATGTATGATTTGACTGTTTTTATTGAAGAAATCGTACGAAAATATACAATTTACAATAGTATTTCTATAAATTTAACAACAATTGCCTTAA